TGTACTGTTAGGATGTATCAAAAATGGTATCCAAGAACTTGATTTGAGAAAAACCTGTTCCTTAAAAGCTTGTGTGCTGCTTGGTCTTTTTGTGCCACGTCTGGTTTTTTAGCATTGTATCTTGAATAAACTGGTGTGATTGATTGGAGACAGCAAAGGGGGGGTAAGCACAGCAGAGCTGCGCAGTGATGTTAAAATATACCAAGCAATGAGTTGATGATGGTTATGGCTGTTGGAAAATCCCCAGATGATGATACTTGTGTAATGTTTTCTTTCTTCCTCCTGGAGAAGTAAATCCTGGAAATGTTGCAGTTAGTAAGGGAATTGACCGCATGTGTAGCTACAGATATTAAGCCAATCTTCTCTTGCATCACTTTCATGCTTGTATTTTGACTTGCAAATTTTAGAATGTCTTTAACAAAATGACAAGCTAAGTATGCTGATAAAAATAAAAGTCAAATGTGAACACATCAAGAGCCTTGTATGATGAAGGAAGAATGGAGGTGGTTGGAAGTGGAAAACTGTTTTTTTAGTATCTCCTGAAGAAATGCTGAGCAAGGAACTTTTTCTGCAGCAAAGCATAAACATAGCCTGGTCTGAACGCGGCAAGTGGGCAATCTTTATCCAAAGCAATTAATTCTTGAAAATAGTTTTACTATGTAGTTCACCCACAGTATATTGGTTTCTTACGATGTCATTGTAAGGTTTCTGCTGAGTAGGATGTTCTTGAGTCTAGATTTTTACTTGAGGTTGTATTTCATTTGTGTTTCTTGCTGATGAGAAGAGTATAAAGGAGCATGAAGAATACACTCCTGTCCAAAACTGGCTAATGCACTTGGCAACTTTTATAAGAGTGTATTTGTCCAGTAAACATAATGTAATAGGATCTGGTAGTTTCACAAATGTAGGAGATGTGCTGTAATGAAAGTTGTATTAAGACTTCAGTCATGCTTTGAAAGTCTTGAGTTGCAGCGCTTTAAAGGTGCTTTTTATGGTCAATGTATATGATTTGCTTTTATCATCTCACAAAATCTTTCAAGACTAAATTAGGTGTTTGATTTCTTTTTTTTCAAGCTACTACCAAGTGCAACATTTTCCAGTACTCTTTGTTGAGGGGGAGGTGTATGAGCAAATCAGCATAACTGAAATTTGGAGCGTTAAATTAACTGCTGCTTTTGCAGATAACTTTTTTTTTTCCAAGAAAGTCCAGTGGTGCCCCTTTAATCATTGTGCTTAAGATACAGCATCCACTGGTCTGTTGTAGTGTGGCATTAAGAGGATAAATAGGTGAGTATAGTAATCCCAAGAATTTTGAGGTTATCCTTCTGTCATGGGAAATGCATCCAATCTCCTCGTCAAACCGAATTTGACTAATTCTATCCAAGTTCCTAGTTTTCTGTACAATCACTGAAAATTCCTTCTAGTTTTCTTTGCTTCTCAACAGAAAAACCTTCCAAGTATAGGAATTTGTTAAATCTAGTTTTATGAGGATTGGACAGTGCTACTTCTAGATTTGTTTAAACTGGAGGAGACACTTAAATTATGGTGTGTTAAAACAAAAGCAGAACACATACCAAATAGCGTTTGTGCTTTTTTTTTATGATTCGTTCAGGAGACCCAGTTACTGGGAATAGGCACTTAGTTTAAAAATAGGTCGGTTGTCATGTATAGATAGTTTAAATGGATCATAGACAATTTTTAGTGGCTCTTATAAAAACAGTGTGTCTGTTAGTAGGTATAAAGTGATAACAGCCTGAAGACTTGTTTCAATACAGATTGTCGTTTTCTTGCTTTACAGGAAAATCTTCACTGACGATTCAGTTTGTGGAAGGGCAGTTTGTTGATTCATATGATCCAACCATAGAGAACAGTAAGTAAATAACTGACAAGCTGCTCTTTTTTACATAGCTTTCATCAGAAGCCATTGGGGTTATGTTTTACTTCGGTGGGCATTTACCTGTTAGCATTAAAGCTCATTAATGAACTGTTAAGTTTTATTGCTCTTTTAAACCAGTGCTTGCCAAGCTTACAGTATCGCAGTGTGGAAATCACTGTGTGCGTATTTCTCTGAAGAGCTAACTGTCTTTTTAACAGTAAATGAAGGAAAACCTAATCAATTTGGCTAAAATACTACTTCTTGTCCTATATTTATGTTGTTGAACATCTGCTTCCTCTAATATAGTTGGGACACCTCAAATTAGGTATGTTATACCTTTATGAAAACGCACCACCATATACAAGTATTCCGAAGACTCACGTGTTTCACTTGATCGTTATATCCAGATGAATGCAAAGCCAGGACAAAGTGAGGAGTAATTGGCTGCCTGAGAAGGTAGACATGCTGTGGCCATCAAAATCTCTTATTTCCAGCTCCTTGATAACAAGCCCAGTACCCAATCTACTTGCTGTAAATACTGGGTAACTGACTTCTCAGCTGCCTTTTTTCTCTTAGCATTTTTTTTTAATATTAATGCCTTTGTGAGTAGCAAGCATAGTGGGTGAGTAAAGATGGTAATCCTAAAAATGCTGCCAAGAGCAACAGATCACTTCAGAGGCGAGTTACCAGGTATTTGTTACAATCCAGCCGCCTTTTCCTGAGCTGGCAGTGGCTATAAAGTGCCTGAGCAGCTGCAGTGCTAGGCTGAGTAACTTAACTGGATTGGCTCACTTCAATCGTGTGCCACATAAAAACTCCAATTTCATTATCATTACCCTGGAGTTCTTGTATTTTAATGATTTTTGAAATGCAGTGGTAGCATGCACTTTTACTGTTTCAGGCTTGTACTGCGGGGTGTTGAGCCTGCCTGGGAGTTTGAATGAAGTAATCAGCAGAACAAGATTTCTTTTGAATATATATGGAAATAATTACAAATCAGTAGCTATCAGGATATTTTACACAGTGTTATTTTACTGCTTAGAACTAAAATTCAAATGCTGCTTTTTGAGAAGCTCTGAATTTGCTCTTGCCCCTTGACCTGAATGATCTGTTGGTCCTTATACAGATGTCATTAATACTAAGTTTCCGCCATCCCTTTTTACTTTGTTAGAACTAGAAATAAGATTTGTTTTGAATTGGAGCTGCTAACAAAATATTGGGGATTAAGTTTCTCTATTTTAAATCTTCATGTCATTTGGGACAGGTTATTTTTCATGATGGTATATAAATGCAAATTATTTAATATTTTTTATGCAGGTATATGGGAATGAATAAAGCTCCAGAGACATAGGGCCAAGGTCTCTTCAAAATAATGAGCCTCCTTCTTGTTTTAGGCTTTTTAACACCTTGGTACAAGTTTGATTTGTTGCATTCTTTACAAGCTCTTGTCATCCACAGAAACCTATTGTCTGTAACTGCTTTTAGTAACTCTGTAGTTGTATGTCTCACTCTGGTAGCGTTTCCTAACCGTGAAAATACTCTTGATGAATTCTGCTCTTACGGACTCTCATAGTTTGTGCTGCTTCCTTGATCTGAATTCTAAATATGGAGCATGTCATGGCCATGAAAAGTGTGTTGGGTGAGGGCATCTTGAAAAGGCTTAACTTTTCACTTGATTTCTTATTTGTTCGGAAAACAAACAACGTTATTCATTTGGTGCAAGTCTTGTGATCTGCAGCGTGGCTGGACGGATTTGCTTTCTGAAAGGTAGAGAACTGAAGGACCCTTCTTGTGTGAGAACATGTTACTAGGAAGTAAGGGTAGAAAAAGTAAAAGATGTGCCCTGAGATTCAAAACAGTAGGAAGTCTGTCCCATCTTTAAACCCCAGAAGGCTGATAGTAAGAATGTTTTAGAAGTGCTTCTGTGAAAAATGGGATAACTCACTGAAATTTAACACTAAAATTTAAAATATATGGAAGGGGATTTTTTGTTTGATTTTTGTTTATTTTTTTTAAAAAAATCTAGTTTTGGTGAGATTAGTATAAAATCATTCTTTTGACTTAAGTTGTTAATCTTTTTTAAATGTTTTTTCTAAATATAAATCTTTAATCAATCTAGTCTTCTTGCACTGCCAGCTTTATGTTCCTGTTTCTGTGCAGAACCATAAGGCACAAAGTACGTAAACAACACTTTGTTTTCCCAGCTTGTGATTTCAGATCTGGTCCATGATGCCAGCAGAAGGGGTTGAGAAGTCCAGGTTCCTGCACTAGGGGTGGTATTGGAGAATGTTACAATTTTGTGAAGTGCTGTATTAGAGGTTGTAAATGGTTTTCTGTTTCATCTAGTGATTGAGTCTACTTTAGTGTCACAAAACTTGAGAATGAAAAACATACAGGCTAAAGAATCGCGTGGCCTCTGTGATTTCTGTTTTGTCTCCTGAAGATTGTTTAGTGCGAATTTGTTACAGTATTCTGTTGGCACTGATGAAAGGGTGGAAAGGTGCAGTACTGCTGGTAGCTCAATCTTTATAATTTTTGGCTTCAAAGCATAAAATTGCACCAAAAAAAGAGTGTAAAGCTAAATTTTGTAGAAGGTGAGTTATAGTTAGGCTCTTAGAGGAACAAGTTGCACAGCATGTAAAACTAATAAGGAATAGTCTCTAATTAATATTGTATTAGTTTCATTTTTTCAGTGAGAATCTGTACCTTTGGAAATGGTAGAGTGAAATAAGATGCATCAGATCTCACTTAGTGTTGGTTAAAGTCAACGTCACTGTGAGGGTGACAGAGCCCTGGCACAGGCTGCCCAGGGAGGGTGTGGAGTCTCCTTCTCTGGAGACTTTCAAACCCGCCTGGACACGTTCCTGTGTGACCTGCTGTAGGGGATCCTGCTCTGGCAGGGGGGCTGGACTAGATGGTCTCTAGAGGTCCCTTCCAACCCCTGACATTCTGTGATTGTGTCACTTCTACATTTTCCTTTGCTTTTATTACATTAGAGCCAGAAAAGGTAAAGTTAACAAGCATGTTGGTTAAGTTGCTTTTACTAAACTTGTGTATCAGGAAGAGTAATGAGTAGCTTTTTGTGCATTCAGCGGAGGTTAACTGCTTAGCAAAATAGATTCTCCCTTTCTGAATGTCCCGACAGGAATGATACTATGTTGGGTGGCTATTCCTGAGATAGCTAGGTTGAGAAATTAATGTAACGATTACTTGTGGGAGTGCTGGAAAGAGAAGGAAGATTCCTGCAGTGCAGGAGTGTGTGGAGGGAGTTTGTGTGGACACTGAGCTGGATGGGCCCCCAAAGGCCAATTACCTCAGATATGCTAAGGCCAGAACAATTTAAAACTTGAAAAATTTACTGGAATAAAAACTAGAATTTGGAACTCAAAACAAAAAGGTCATAAAGAACAGATACAGAAGATCTACACATCAGTCCCCACTGCCATCTTTGCAGGGACATCTTTGGCTATTGTTAATTCAGTGATTTTTGTGTGGCAGGAAAGCTGACTTGACTGCCTGAGTCTCAAAAATGTTTTCTCCAGCTCCTCTCAGGCCTGCCTGGCTGCTTTTCTGCTTTTTCTTGCAGTTTTGGGGAAGCTTCTAGCATGATGCTTTAGCTCTGTGGTCTTCTTCTCTCCCCAAACAGTCTCAGTAGTGCCCTAAGTAAAGGAAGAGTCTTTCCCCAAGGGTTTGCTACCTCCATCCCATGTTTTTTAATGCAGTTGTGAGTAGAAACATAATAGAGAAAAGGGAGAGGGGGCTGGAGTAGCCCTAGTAGTCCTGGAGGGCACACCTATAAATTGAGATTGGTCTGCTAGAAGCATCTTTAAGGCTAAACTTTTTCGATCCACATCATGGCAAGTGCACTGGAAGGGTAAAGTACGCTTCTTCCCAGGAGTTGCTGATGAGCAGCCTTCTCAAAGGGTGGAAATAAGGTTTCTGAGAACTACTAAAAATAGCTTGGTTGCATCACGTATCTTGGCGTTGCAAAAGCTATCCTGGCAGATCAGTGACAGGCTTTGGAATGAAGACAAGTAAAAGGGGATGCAGGAGGTAGTAACCAAGGAATCCTTACAAGGTGGTTGTATTTAGCTGCTAGCCAGTAGCTCTGTGGGAATAATGTTATACCTCTCTCGTACCTTTACTCTTTGGTGCTGTTGATCTAAAAGCCTGCATTTGTATCCTGGGACTGATTTTTTTTGTTTGTTTGTCATAATGATGTGTTTTCACAGCAGCTGTTGCATATGCAAATCACTTCATTCCTGTTAGTCTAATTGAAATATTCTTGATCTTAGGGTAACGATGATAAGCATTTGATGGAGTTGCTGCTTAAGTAACACTTCTGCTGAGCTGTAGCAGTGTTCAGGTCTATGCTCTGCACATAATCTTACCAGAACTTTCTCTGATGCCAAAGTGCCTTTAGTTTCTTTGCAATGCAGCTGTTGGCTGTATCTCTTTGGGGCTGTGCTGTTCACTGTAGCACCAAATTCTTCGATTTTCAGCGATGCATCAGAACCAGGAACAATCAATTGTACGTGAACGTGGGGGTTGCCGCTTGCTCTGTTGTAGCTACACTCGAGCTATGTCTTGCAAGGTAAAAGCATACCCTGTTCTGAGATCTGTGTGCTTCATGGAACTAAAATTGGCTTCAGGTGATGAGCAGCTCTTTGTAGACGCTCACATGATGGCTGCAGGGATTGTTCAGGTCTGCTGAAATCTGTCCTTGGCATACCAAGAAGAGCCATACTGTGCCATAATTGTTTTTTGCTGAAGGCAGTGTGTCCCAGGATGGTAGGTGATGGAATTGGAGACTTGTCTGGACCAAGCAGATCTGTGGTTCACTAATCACATTTAATACAGTTGCAGATTTTTCCCAAGATGAAAGTTCTTGCCAGGACTATTTTTTGAAAGCTTCAGCAAAGAAATGGGAGTCATTAATTATGACTGCATCAAAGCAGATTTGTGTTCCTGCAGTGGGCTGTTCCCACTGCTACAAGCCTCTGCACTGAGCTAACAGTCCTCCTCACCCAGTCTGTGGTGACTCCTCCACTCCTCCTTCCCCTGGCTCTGTCACTCTGCTTCCAGTATTGATAATGATGATGCTCATGTCTTTGCTGGATCTATTCTAGGCTTCCAGTATAGTCTCAAAAAGCTGCCATCTCTCTCTGTCCCTTTTTAAATATTAACTTCATGAAGCTCCTGAAGCTACTTCGATTGCAGAGTGCTTTGATGTGGATGTGAAGTGTCAAGAGCCTAGAGAGACTGTTACTTTTAATATACCTGTTAACAGAGTGTGTCTCAGATGAGTCTGGTTTACCTCTGATTTGAAGCAGAGTTGTTGTGTATAGCAACACTGCATGTTAACAGCTATTCAAACAAATGGTTGCTTCTGTCCCCACCACAGCATTCATCAAAGGCAAAGAGCTGTTGTGGGTTCTTGTTTCCTACCTAAAACATTGTGCAGCGATGACAGCAGCGTCCACACAGTGACAGCTCGCCTGCATGTGTGCTCAAGCAGCTTTCTTAGGGGATAGAGAGGGTAAGGCAGGAGCTAATTCTCCATTTCAAATAGCACTTGTTGGTTTTGTAATGGAAAACGTAGGTACACTTTACACTGTGTATTTAGACACTCTGCGTTAGCTTGGCTTTGCTGTTTGAATTGCTGCTTTTTTTAAAAAAGGGCACTTGGATTTAGTGGGTAGGTTGAAACCTCCAGTTTCAGATATTTCAGCCCACTTAAGAGAATACTCGCATTGTGGAAACTTGACAGGGCAACAAGCATTGGCAGGGAGGAGGAAGACTGGCAAACTTCAGCTTCTGGGAGACCCACTACAAAACCAAGAAGGCATAGGCACAGTGGCATCAAGAACATTCAACTTTGCGGCTTCAGGAAGCTGTTGGACAACTTAAAGTGTGATGAACAGGTCACTGCAGTATTGGCTGTTTCCCTGCACATTGTTCTGATGAAAGATGAAGCTTCTTGGGACTGTTAGTATTTGGGAAAACCACTTCAATCAGAGGACAACACAAATTCTACTCAATAGATCAATCCTGTCCAGTAACTGAGTGCAAGACTAAAGCCAAAGTGAAATTCTGAAGCCAGGTTTGCGTGTTCTGGTTAGTACATGTAGTGCTTGGGAGTACATTATTTCTTCAAGAGCCCTGACACTGTTTGCTTTTGCAGTTGCATAATGCAAACACTGAGTAAGATTCCTCAGCTCATGGTGCATTGGCATTTCATGAATCCGAGGAAGAGAAGCAATTCTCCTGACTTTTAGGGACTGAATGTACTTCCTGACTAAGGACTAGATAGCCTGGTAGCTATGGCAAATGTGAAAGCAACATGATCAACCTTTAGCTGAATTCTTGTTATTTAGGTTTAGTACATTCATATGCTAGGCTCTGTGTGGTTTGGCCCCTGAAGATTTTTTTTTTATATATATTACTTTTAATCCATATCATTTATGTTCGTGGTGTTTACATTTAGGAAATTGAACTTGCTAAAGTGCTTGGAAAATATCCTATAATAAGTTCAAATTTTGCTTTGATCCTAACTATATTTAAGTGTCTTACGTTACCACAAATTAGGGTTACCTGGAAGTCTCTTAGAAATGTATGTAAAAGCCCTTTCTGCTCTTTCCTTCTAAGTAAGTAAAGGAGAAACTGCTGCATCCAGTGTGAGAATCTTCTGAAATTTTAGATTTTACAGTAAATTTATGTCTCCTTATCTGCAATACACTAGTTAAAAGTACAGCCACCTGATGTAGCCTTTTACTGCTACTTTAAAGTGTGTAGCTAAAGTTCTTTTTCTTAGTGCCTTGGCAAAAATGAGTGACTTCTGATCCCTTCTTTGTGTATAATTCTCACTTACTTACCTATTTCTTATTTGTTCTAGCTTTTACAAAACTGATCACAGTAAATGGCCAAGAATATCATCTTCAGCTGGTTGACACTGCTGGCCAAGTAAGTTATCTATCTTTCCTTGAATCTTCCTACAGAGTTCGGGCAACAGATATTCATATTCCTATAGGGCTGGCTTAGTAGCAACCATGCATCAAAGGTGAAGGTTAACTTCAATGATTCTTCCTTGTTTAGTCTCTAAAAGAGCAATGTTTCTGTAGTATTTGTGTAAAGGCTTTGGTTTGATTTTTGTTTTCCCCGCCTCGTCTATTGAATGTATGTCAAAAAGTGAAGAAGGAACTGCCTTAACTTCGATGTACCAAAAGTTTTTAAGTAGGTTGCTTGATATTTACAGACTAAGCTAGCAGCTTTGCTTTAAATGGAAAATGTCACTTCAGTAAACTACAGAGAAGTTTTTCATGACTTACTCGTATTTGTGTGCTCCAGCTACACCACCATGACTTATATCCATGAAATAGTCATGAGGAGTAGACAGAAATACTTAGAGGTAGTACTTACTGGGCTGCCAATAAACTACTGCAGTTTGTTTACATTTTTACGTGGTGGTTCATGCGTGCTTCCAAGCCTTCACGTAATGACAGAGAGCACAGGAGGACACTGTGCACGCGTGTCCCGTGGCGTGCTCAGTAGCTTCATAAAGCGCAGGTGTTCATTATCTAGTGCTGCTTGACTGGACCTACACTGCACGTTCCACACATAGGAGTGCTCTGTCTTTTCAAAGACTCTATTAGGAAAAAAAGCAGAGCAGGGGCTGTTAAACCCCTGTATCTTTACCCTAACCTTTTTATTGCTAGCATGGTCTGACCTTCGGTGATTTCCAATGATGCCTTTGGGTTTTTTTTCGAACAACAAGTAGTGCTGAACAATGTTAGTGTTATAAAATATGCTGCCAGTGCTTAGGACTTTAAAGCTGCAGGACACTTGCTCATAGCTGGGAGGCTTTTCAGAAGGGTTATAATCTTCTAGGTATGTTTGATGGCTTTCTTTGAAGAGAGCTACATGACTTAAGAACGACCATGCTTTATTACGTGGTGTCAGCTTGTGGTGCTGATCAGCAACTCTGTATCTACTTGTAATCTGTCCGACATGTCCCAAGTGAGGGGAAGCACAATGCCAGCCAGGTCTGTGGCAGTGTTGTTTGATGGGCGATATTCTGCAGAGAGAGCGAGGTGGAGAGATGGGCAGCCTGAGAAGCAGGCAGCAGAGCAAGATCCCTAGGTTTTACTTTGTGCCAATATTATGTGTGCTTGCCTTGCATTTCCAGTTGTAGCGTAGTGATAAAAGTAAAATTTGCCTTTGAGGAAGTGGCTTTCTGGGAGGGCAGTGTAACTTCACCTGTAACCCATCTCTGTTCCCTAGGTTTGTTTTCGGTTACACAGTATTGTAGAATCAAAATAGCTCTCCTGGCCTGTGGTTATTTTCAGAATTCATTCTTCCTGTAAATGACTTGAACTTTGAGTTCTGACTCACAGGGTTAGAGGGGAGAGATCATGTTGGGTTATGGAAAGGGTGGCTTGGACAAACCTCTTTCTCAAGTCTGCATTGCTTAATGATCCATAGGGAGTCCTTGTGTGTACATAGCATAGCAAGGTTTGTGTTGTAGATTTGTTACATATTTAAAAACTTGTCTGTGACTTGCAAAGGTACAACTGCTTTGTTTTATCACCTGGCAAAGTTCTTTTACCCACAAGTTCCAGGAAGCATGGCAGCTCTTCTTCCTTCTCCTAACAAGCTAAAAATTAAGTAATGAATTAGAAACAATTGAGAGAAACTCAATCAGCCTCAGCCTGCCCTAACGGCACTTTTCTGGGTACTTCTCTTCTGTGCCTTTTTACCTTTCGTGGTGATCTGTTGGGATTTGTGTAGTTCGTTTCAGCAAGAGTCTTGGTACGGGAGCACGGAAGAGGAGTGTAAAAGGAAATCTTGCCTAACCTAACACCAAATTCCAGCTGGGGCAATCCTGAGAAATTCTGGGTAAAGTCAAACAGCTACAGAGTTGCACTTCCACCAGTTTTACAGGCAGGCTGGCCCAGATCCCTTCTGTGCTGGCTTTGGGGTTACACGGCCAACTGAAGTGACGGTTTGGCATTCAGGGAAGGTGACGGAGGGCTGCCCTCAGCGTGTAGCAATAAAGGCAAATAAGGGCAACTTTGGTCAAGTGCTGGTCTTTAAAACTCTTTTGACTGAATCTGTGAAGTTGATTTATAAAGGGTTTTTCCTCATTAGCCCATTAAGGAAGTTTGATTTCTTTTGGCTGCCTGGGTTTAAGCTGCGTGATCGCACTGCTCCATCTGTTCGATCATGGCAATGTACAGAGAGGTTATGTGATCTTAAGCTAAAATTAACATCTGAAGAAGCGTAAGTTTAAAAAGTTGAGAACTCGTGCATCAAGAAGTATGGCTCTTGTCAAAAATGGAAATGTTTTCTGGGACTATCTCCTAGAACAATTTAGATTTTAAAAATGGGATTCATGGTATTTGTATCACATTACTTGCAATCTGTCGGTCTTTTCTTTACCTATTTAGTCAGTCTCTTTTCTGCTAATAATAATAAAAAATTCAGTGATAAGCTTCTGGTGGTGGTTTTTGTTTGTTTGTTTTAATTAAACACTTGTATAATATTAAACTTCTAATTGTCATAAAGCATCTCATAGCTGTATTTCTTGCATCTGTAGTTGATAAGCCTCAGTTAGTTAGTAAGCCACAGTTATTCACTTCCTAACAGATCCCTTGGGTAATTTAGATGTGATCAGTGTCACTTGAAATTGTGAACTACTAGATCCTGTCGTCAGCTGTTGAAATTAAGAATTTGAAATGTATCACCAGCGAGATAAGAGGTGTAATTGCTAATTAGTGGTAGGACAGAGTGGATGTTTTGTACTAATACAAACTGGTAATTAAGCAGGATAAGAGGATTGGAAATAGCTTTAGCTGATCCACAGTCTTAGAGGGAATAAACCAAAAAAGCTGTAGATTGAATTTTAGAGTATACTGATGGACTCAACTTCCTTTTAATTTAGTAAAGATTCCACATCTGACATTATAATGAAAAAAATTATTTCTTCAAGTGCTACCTATACCAAATGGGCCGACACCTTATGTCTTACAAATGTGATCGACTTATCTGATGGTGATTTGCTAACATCAAGTTCTGAATTGTGGCAATAAGTAATTTTAAATGCAATATTCCTTCTACAGGATGAATACTCCATATTTCCTCAGACGTACTCCATAGACATCAATGGCTACATTCTTGTTTATTCAGTCACGTCAATAAAAAGGTAATAAAATCAGTTGTGTTCTTATGGCTCAGATATTAACCAGGTATATTCTGGGGTCAGCTCCTGCTTCTGCTGTATTGTCTTTACAAATGTTTAGTTTATTTAATCTCCTTCTCCCTTAGAAGTATAATGGAAATTAAAATTAATGTTTTTTCAGAAATTTCCCCTCAGATCCAATGTCACAGACACTTTGCAGACTAACATGCAAGGTACCACATGAGAATTGAGATAGTGGTGAACTACATTGTTTTGAGGTGTAAGTAAAAGTACAAGGAAGGATTTCATGAATAAGTGGAGTTCATTGCTCTGGCATCAAATACAAAAGTAGACTTAAATACAAACCTAAAGGGCACTGTACATTTATGTGAAGTACCTGATTTGTTGCTGGATTGGTACCTCAACTTTGCAGCTTGTTACGATACTGAGATTTCTTTGCCTTCTTGTCTTGGACTGTTCTGGTTTACTATCAGAAATTTTCATATAGGTAGCAATATATGACTTATGGACTGTAGACTTATTCTTGATGTGCTGCAGCAAATAATCTTACTTGAAAATTTTCTCAGAGTATCTATTTTATCTTTGCTGTTAGCTGTCTATTCTGACTTGAGGACAGAGTCCTTCATAGCTGGAGTCATTTACCTGCAAGACACATCTCAGCCTTCATAAGGCTTATTGTCATCTTCTGTTATTTTGTCCCTTCCTCTGGTCGTCTTGCTCTGTTGAAATACTGGTCATTCTTGAATAGATCTTACATTTTCTAATATTGTACAGCATCTTTGTTACCTCAGTCAAAATAATCCTATTTTCTTAAATTTTTTTGAGTAAAATGGTTAAGACCTGGGACCTTGCACTGTCATGAAGTAGAAAAAACCTGATGCTTCCCTTGTACTTGCAAGGAAGCTGATCAGCTTTTTACAAGTGCCAAAGTGTTCCATGTCTTCTCTTCTGAATCGGACAAAACTGGTCATCTCAAGTGCACTTTAGTAGACCATCATAAAATACAGGTAAAACAATTTGCCCGTTTGCTCTCAAAGAAAGGAAACAGTCTAGTTATAAACTTCTAGTGCTTGCAGCTTCTTTAATATTGAACAGATTTTCCCAGTCCTTCATTCTTGGTGTTCATCTTTAGTTTGAAGTAGTGAAGTGCGAACACACGTGATCTGGAGGAAATGCAACAGATGTTAGGCTTTCATGGGTGTCTAGAGATACTAAACTACCTATTTTTTTCTTTTTTCATTGGGTTCAGTGTTGGTGCTGAGTAATTTGTATGAAGTAGGAGTTAGTATTCTCAGCCTTAAGTAGACAGTCTTCTCCTAAAGTGAATACAAAAATGTTCATTGATAAGTGGTACTGCAAGGACAAGAATGTCTTTGACTAAAATCAATGTGGACTGTTTGGAGGGTTCTGCAACTTGAGCTGTTCCCTGGTTGACAGCTAAAGGACATGTTGTTTTTCAGCTACTCCAGTTGCTGTCTCATGATATCTGGAGTTTAGCAGCACAGATGAATGAATGAAAAATCTGTTTTCTGTGATAGCGTTCAGTCAGTTAAAACAGAAACTAAATTACAGTGAGAATACTAACAGAACCAGATATGTGAAGAGTGTAGGTAGATACCTTTTCATCAGTGTTTTAGCCTTGATCGATCTATGCCAAATTTTTTTAGTTCCTTCTTTTGAATTTCAAGGTATTAACAATCCTGTCGTACTCAGTTCCTTTTGTCCTGTCCCAAGACAGTGTTTAGGCAATAGGAAAGATATTCCATGATAATCTGGTAGTTCAGATAACTCGCCCAGGCACCCAGATTACACTCGCCATCTGTCTTGACTCCTGTCAAAGTGTGTAGATTGATCTGAGTATTGATCCAGCAGAGGTGAGAGCTTTGACATCAAACTTAGTAGAAATACGCTTGCAAAATTATCATCTTCCCTGCTAACCTCCAGTGGGAAGTTTAAATGGGACTTGGCTAAAAGCCAATGCCCTACATTTTTCATATTCCCAGGCTCTGGGCAGCAAGGGTATGGGAAGGCTTTTGCTCTTGTTCAACTTAAATTAAGTTCCAATTTTGTATCTTGCTAGCCTCCATGATTTTCTGTAACACGTTTATCTGACAGCTAGTAATTTTTTTTATTACATTTCACACGTTGAGCTGTTTGCTGTGTTTGCTGCAACCTCACTTGCTTGACAGAACTGGAAAGGACCTCTTGCTGCCTCCGAGTCTCTCATTTCTCAACTTGTTATGATGATGTTCTTCCTGAATCAGTTGATGTCTGTCTTAAAGTGTGTCCCTGCTTCTTCTAGCCTTATTAACTTGAAAAGCTTTCTAGAACATTGGATTGATCTAGAGAAACTAATTTCATTCCTGGCAGTTCTTAGCAACTTGTTTCTATGTCGCAATTGTGTTTGAGTTAAAACAGCACTTCTCTTGTAGTTTCCACCTTGATCTGTTAACAAAGATGGGTGGTTTATTTATAGTATTTTTACTAAAAATGGAGCTCATGAGCTATCCTAGGCAAGGAGACGGGTACACAGAATTGGGAAACGAAGAGCTCGTGTTAAACGAGAACACTTTGCAGCACTGGAACCCTGGTGAGGACTTGCTGGGGTGCTGGGCCATGGAGACACCCTGCCTCAGGGCAGAAGGGGAACTGTGGTTGTACTGTGTTAGTGATTCAGTCATCCTGTGGCTAGTGCGCCAGATCTTTCCTGTTGCTTCACACTGATAAACAATTTTGTGGTCTGTAGCAGGGGTTTTTCTCTTAGTCAGTGTTTTTGGTAGTATTTTTATTCTTTTCAGTTTGCAGGATCACCTCATTCCGTGTGTAGCAATGCCTCTCAACTTTGTCACAACCAAGTTCCATTTAACCCTTTTAGTTTAGAAGAATTCCAGGAGAAGTTCTCAAGACCAGAATTTCTCTACCTTTTCAGCATAAGCTCTCTATAACCGTAAAGTCCTTAGACGGGTTCCATGGTTTTATGCAATCTGTAGTATTTTACTTGAGTTAGTAATAATAAGTTGTGCCAAAGTCACACTTTTGTTTGCAAAGATCTCCTCGGTAGGATATACTAAAACTGTTTGCTGAACTTGGAAACATACGATGTTCTACTCATTCTCAAAAATTACTGTTGAAGTCAGACAAATTGACCTACTTGACAGAAAAACCTTAAATATGGTAGCATTTATTGTTCCAGAATTGAGTTGTTTTAATGATTCAAACGTCTTGCGTAGTGTTTTTAGACACCAGTTCTTTGAGAGCCCCGAGTTGAAAATGTGTTGAGTTCTGCTCTATTTTTAAAAGTTTCAGTTCTAATTAAAATGCAGTGCAAGTCAAGACACTGCCTGTAGCTCACAACCTTGGCACTTGGAAGAGTTTTGGTCACTTTTTTTGTTGTCTCTTTCTGAGTCTGTGCCTCTCTTAAAACACATCTGAATTGTGCGCTTTGTGTGCTGGCTTTTGTTTCATAATGTAGTTAGAGCACAGCATCTACTCTTCGACCTCATTTTTAGCTTGTTCTCAAAAGTACTGAATGTCAAATGCAGAAGATTTTTTTAGGGAGGTTTTTTGAATTCTTCATATCTCACAGTACTGCTCACGTCCCATCATCCGAATGTCATGCACATGGTAGGTGAACAGACAGGTATTTGAATAACCACTGTTTCGCTATCATCTTCCAGATCAGTTTACTCACTTTCCATATAAAATCAGAATTTAGGCTTCTTTTGGGCTTTCACATAAATCAAACTAAAGAATTCCATGTGAACTAAGTGTTCTTAGACAATAATGTATTCTTTCAGGTGTGCTTAACTAAAGGCTTTTTCTTTGACACTGCTTTAATTTGACATGCTCATCCAGGATTATCGGACTCTAGCAGTGAAATTTCTTCCTTCAGATACAAACCAGATGAGAGGTGGGGAAGGGCTTTTAGCAATGCTGTGTTAGATTTATCAGTCCTGGGGGATGTTACTCAATTTATTTCTGCAAATATCATAGCTGGTGAGGCTGTTGTGGTAGGCATGGGCTGGTCTTTGCTGCTTCTGGGGCCATTTTGTCAGTTGTACACAAATCAGTAAGACTTCCAGCGTCTCTGTAGTTTTGCCACTATACATAGAGTAAGTTTTAAACACAGCAACCTGCATATGCATTTAATTGCTTGTGTATTGGGTATTAAGGATAAACATTGGAGTGCATGTGTGACTTCATCCCTTTATTTTGCAGTTTTGAAGTGATAAAAGTTATCCATGGCAAGTTATTGGATATGGTGGGAAAAGTCCAGTAAGTAGTGACACTTTCATCTCATTTCATTGCAGGCATGTTACTAGTACTTTGGTCAGTATACTGTAACTGTTCTGAAGTTCTGAACTTTCTTTCACAGAATACCCATTATGCTGGTTGGAAATAAAAAAGACCTGCATATGGAACGGTATGTGAACTCCAGGATGTGTGAAATGCAAGGCAGCAGCCGGCATTCTTTTTTTCCATGCGCTACTTTTGTTCTTGGCTTTCTGTAACTAAAATCAAACTGTAAGTTAAAATAAGATACTGGCAAGAGAATTGCGTCCAGAATGCTGGCAGCCGTGAACTTTTGTTGTAATGTTTTTTCCATAAGGTTCCAGGGATGGTCGTTAAACGCTTTGTGGGGCTTTTTTTCCAAACAAATAACAGAAGTGTATTTTTCAAAACTAAAATACCAGATGATATTATGGAAACAAAGCAATACTTTGGGACAACTGCTCTTCCGGGTCGTGTAGCATTTTTACCTGGCCCAGTGGTGTATTTGACAGCAGCCAAAAGCAAATGCTCTGGATCGGATTTCACAAAACATTCCTGTTACGTACATTTATGTGATTCAGTATTTTAAGGTCTTTCTTGACATATCAAATTCCAATTCTTTTCAAGTTATAAAGAAGCATACTTCTTTCTCTTTGGTCAGGGTGATCAGCTATGAAGAAGGGAAAGCTTTAGCAGAATCCTGGAATGCAGCTTTCTTGGAATCTTCTGCTAAAGAAAATCAGGTAACGGATCTAAGATTAATTCTATTCGAATAGGTCGTGGAATGACTCCATAGTTTCACTTAATAAAAGAAGGTAAAATATTTGCATGCACTCTGCAGATACTGTGTGTAGATGGTTGGAAATGAAATGCTGGCCTGTGTTCAGGTTTATGTAGACAGGTTTTTCCGTGGACCTGTAAATGGGAGGAGGAAGTGAAGAACTGAAAGTTAAGTTTCACTGAACATAACAGAACACATAGTGACGAACTAAAACTCAAATCCACGTGGTGGGTGGCACCAGGGTCTGTGACTTGCTCTCGTTACCTTAAATACGAGGTCATTGTGGTTGCAGGGGAATGGGTTGGCATAAGGGAATGAGCCACATATTTTATGGTGCCAGGCAGGGCTTGGTCTCTCTAATGTGGGGAATAATCATTTTACGGGTCCACAGAGGAGGGGGGAGCAAACAGAAGAATGTTAGAATACAGCAGAGGCTGTCAAATATGCTGTGATTAAGCTGGAGTGAAGTTGCGCAATCTGACACAATATAACCCCCACACGTTTACACCTGGTGGTTTCCTATCGCGAAAAACAAAATTTTTAATTATATGTTAAGTAATGTCTTCTTGGTTGTTCTAACTAACTTTCTCCAAAATTCCTCCTAAATATGTTGTGGTATTTGAATTTATTCTCATGGCTGTTACTAATACTTGAAAGTTGATTTGACACCTTACATAGCTGAGTTACAGGAGCCTCCTGCTTTGGGCCTGCAGTAATGGATAACTGCTGCAGATTGAAGGGGAGGTGTCTTTTTTTTTATTTTCTTTTTCTTTTCTCTTCCATCCCCCCCATTTTTTTTTTCTCTATAGGTTTCAACAGCATCAAAGCTTCTGCTTTTTGAAAATTACAGACCTATGATAGGGTGAAAAGGACATTGTCAAGCTAGTTCTAAATGAGAAGAAATGCATTTTCTCGTATATAACCTGGCCTGTCACATTCTTGGCCTCCTTGATAACATCAGTACGATCAAAAAGGCAATCTTATAGCTAGGTCAGGACCCGTTCAAGCAGCCTTCCTTTTCCTCTCCCCTGTCCCCAAAGGTAAAATAAATAGCTTTTGGCTGGTATCTGTAGTCAGCAATTCTACAAGTTAGTTGAGTAAGTCTAGATTTTCCCTGGGAGAAAATCTTGGAGTTTTTTTTTTTTTCCTTCGGATATGGCGCACTTGGAGTTGATTTATCAGTACTTCTGGTTTTGGCTAAGATTTCCATTAACCTTGTCAAAATTAGGCATGATGGAAGCATGAAATTACTTAATGTATTTTCTGTAGGGCTGGAGAGCTTCAAATGCATACCCAAGGAAACTAAACTGACAGTGTAAAGAATAAACCAGTTAAAATCGTCTGTTTGACTGTGGGATTTTTTTCCCCCCTTAATTTTAAACAACTTAGCTTTGCCTCATCCAGAACTTATTGACTGTAGTCTTCTTCTTTTGACATATGTTTACAATGTGTAGCAGTATAGCAATTCATATCCAGCAAAATATTTTACTGATGACTTTTCTGAAGTTTGTATTCTTGGTTCAAGAAAAAAAAGGTTAAGTGTATTTATGCAAAGAAAATACAAACATTATATGATGCTTGCCATGTCTTGCACGTTAAATTGCTGCACTACCGATGCCCCATTGACTGCTGTGTCTGTGTTAAGTTATGCTGCCAGCTGAATTTTGTGTAACAAGCTTCAGGGAAATCGGAATGGCATTTATATATCTGAAATTATATTTGGTCCTGAACAAATCCCACAAAAAGTCAGTATTTGTGTTTATTCTTGATGTCAAAGGTGTTCTTACCAGGTCCTCCTTTCAGCAGG